TTTTCTTCGAAGGGTGGACAAACGAAAATTTTGGTTGGACAAATGTGGACAAACGAATACTGTTGGTTTTTCATAAAATTTTGCATTTGGGGGTACTAACTTCACAGACCTGGCCAATGGTGGGTCTCGACGTCGCGCGATTAATTAGGTCCCCTTTCCCGTTGGATTCTAGCTGACGCTGTGCGCCAGATCCACGGCCACGGGCATATAATAATTGAGAATCGATGCTTTCACGGCGCTCGTAGTTCGCAGATAATTGATACACCGTCAAGTTTCCGTTCGGTGTTACGCGCCACGGCTCTCCCTGGTTTACCGGCTCCGTGAACGGGAGGGGAAACGCGAACCCTATTGTCGCCGGGAGTTAATTACGCGGCGATTGACAGCTTACGAAATTTATCGAAAATTTCTGTCCCGCGGGAAATACAATCTGACACGTCTGCTGATAATTAGAGCTACGAATTTTATAAATTTACAGCGCACCTGACAGGCACGAAAGGTGATAAAACAGTGACCGGAAGAAAGTTTTTGATGAAGATAATTGGGCAAAGTTATGGAGAAAACTACCAACCCTCGATGATCTGAAATGAAATAAATTTAGTTTAAAGATTTTAATGTATAAAAAATGATAGCTCTATTTTTATTGGTTATATATTATTTCTTGTTATTGTCTTATAATGTTTCTCAAAGGCTTATTTAATAGTGGGTAGTTTAATTAATATTATTTTGAATTTTCTGTAGTTAATTTTAATTTTATTTATAATTTTCTATGGCGTGGCAATTTTAATAATTGTATAAGATAACAGTTCTTCTATGGGCATGTAATATTTTGGTACGTGAAGATCACAAAATTAAGGGATCCGTACTGTGTGTAATGAAATTTTTGCCATTTCGAGGGTTGTTGGGTTTCTGAGTAACTTGCCCCAATTATAGTTTACTATAAATAATAGTTACAATATAATAATGGTATAATATAATATAAAGATAATTTACCATAAATATTTTACTCTCTAGTCAATAGAATCATTAAAAAAGTGAATCAGTTTCTGCTCATCTCTCGTTTCTGAACCTAAAAAAGTTGTAATTATTTTCGTGGCTTCCCTGGGTCTTTCATAGCACAAGTGAAATGTCCCACTCAAATGTCTCCGAAACAAAGGAATTTTTATCAAAGAAACCATTAAACATATACAATTAAAAACTACTGGATCATATAGTAGAGACCTTGGGAACCATCCCTGAATTTTTTCAGACGTTTTGGAATCCCATAAAATAAAAAAACATAAATCAAGACATCAAATACGTAATAATAAGTAGGGTCACAGAGGATTAACATGACATTTAAATCGATTCGTGTCTATTTTCTCTAAAATCAGCTTTGCAAGTGTGTTCCGTAAATTTTTACCGTTATGCAAACTTCTATGCAATATTATTTACCGTAATTTAAGGTGAACAATATTCAATGTGTAATATCCTTTGCCTCGGCTACCTTTATCCTCGTTTTTAGTTGAATTACCCACAAAAACGTGACTGAAAAATCGAGGTCCGTCATCAAACGGTGGCGACAGCGTTTTCGGCGCAGGTTCTGTTAGTTTAGTTACACAGAAACGCGACAGAGAATTTCCATGTTATTCCTCTCGGTAGGTGCGCACCGTCCAGCGTAAGTTTACCCAACGAATGTACAGGAAACCCTGGGTTTCAGCGCCTGGGCGTCTCCCTTTGCCGCGACAAAGGACGATTGTGATAACACACGCGGGACAATGGTTGCTCTTCGATTCACCTTTGTGACCGAGGGATTCAAACCTTAATTCGTCGGCGTTAGAATTTCACCGTGAGCAAAATCCTCGGTGCAATGAACGCTTGAATTCAGAGAAAATATTCGGGCGCTATTCGGATATTTAATTGATACACGCAGGCGTTATTAGAATATCTAATTGACGAAATTAAACACTGGCAGAGCATACGAATACGCGAAATACGGATGGGAATAGTTGCTGTGCGGAGAATATTTGATTCGGTGTAAAAACGGCGAGAGATTTACTTTGTTCTGCAAAGGAAATTTTGCGAAGTGCTATTTGAATTAACTTGGCTGGTGAAATGAAATATTTTTTATTCGTTGGTGATCTGGATTTTTTCTGCTATTAGTTTCTTTTGAAAAGGGTATAGCAGTGGTGGTAATTTATAAATTCATGTGTTTAGTTTTAAGGTTTACAAATAGGTTGAAAACAAAGCTAATGCGGTAACACGAAAGATTTTCAATGTATGTTATCTAAAGAAAACACGTCGTTATTTCGAAAATAGATTTTTTAAGTATTAGGAAAATAGATTTATGATGACGAAACGGTGGATATTTATGCATTACAGCACTTCTTAACTTGAAACTCACAGTAAGACGAACATTTTAACATTAATATTAACTCAAATATTTACGTCTTACTTCAACTATTATTTTCACTACTCGCAGCACCAATTATACACAAAACATCATCCTTATTCCCTCAATCATGGTTACAACACTTCAAACCATCGTGTCATTCAGCCAGTAAAAAAGCCAATCATCGTGTTGCGTTATCCAATCATAGAACAAATAAGAATATTAACAACATATTAACACAATTCATCGTGTTTTCCATCGCGTCGTATTGCACTATCCCATAGCAAAACAAATAACAATATTAACAACATTTTAACACAATCCATCGTGTTTTCCATCGCGTCGTATTGCACTATCCTATAGCAAAACAAATAACAATATAAACACCATTTTAACACAATCCATCGTGTTTTCCATCGCGTCGTATTGCACTATCCCATAGCAAAACAAATAACAATATTAACAACATTTTAACACAATCCATCGTGTTTTCCATCGCGTCGTATTGCACTATCCCATAGCAAAATAAATACCAATGTAAACACCATTTTAACACAATCCATCGTGTTTTCCATCGCGTCGTATTGCACTATCCCATAGCAAAACAAATAACAATATAAACACCATTTTAACACAATCCATCGTGTTTTCCATCGCATCGTATTGCACTATCTCATAGCAAAACAAATAATAATATAAACAGTATTTAAAAAAAGCAGCTATACTTCAACAATTTCATTACTGGCGGTATGCAAAGTGAAAAGTGTGAAAAGTGCAAACAAGAATCATCCTCACCCTACCCTCATTCATCGTTTAAACCATAGTACCACCCACCCAAAAGCAAAGCCGACTTATAGTTAAACATGCTGCATTATCCAATCACAGAACGAATAAGAAAATTACCAGAAACTATATCCACGAAAACCATAGCCCATCGGAGGGTATCCTCTATTGGCCTCAGTCGTTCCGAAGCGCGTCCAGGGGGGGGGGGATCACAGCGCATATAAACGACAAAGGGTCGCGCCGCCGTTGCCTGGGCAAAATAGCATCGCGTGTAAGTGCACAGAGTGTCGCTGCCCGAGGTTTCGCCCACACATCGAACGGGGCCCCGTGTTAGGCCGGAGGATTGGGCTCTCCGCAACCCCCAGGTGCATCGAGGTTTCTGCGGCGACTGGGGGTTCGATGCAGGGAAATGGGTCTGAGGGGGTGGGTGGGGGGTAATATAACGCGAGGAATAGAACTCGGTAGACTCGGTTAATTAACGGAACCCACATGGGACAGGTCCGCGTTCTGTCCAGGCGGCCACGTCTCCTCTTTTATCCCTTTCACCGCACCGGCCTCCCACCACCGCAGACCCACCCCCTCTATCGTGTCACCCCTGTCGCGCTTCCACGCCGCAAATACAGCCTGCGAGAGGGCGGTACGTAAATAACTTGCGCGTCCCTTATCCGGCTTTGCTCGTGCCGAACTGGAATGGAAAAGGGGTGTGGGGGTGGTGGGACGAACGACGACAGAGGGTGGTAGATAAAGTCTCTGACGGTACTCTCTCTCTCTCTCTCTCTCTATCTTCATCTTGCTTGCCCCAAGGGGAAACGGAAGAACCGTGGTGGCGGAAGGGAGGTTCCGTCCGGCGCTTAATTAAAGAAATCCTTGTTTACTGCCGGTCGACGTCGTCAGGCTGCTCCCGACTGCTCGCTACCGCTTCAGTTCGTTACGTAACAGGTGTCGTGAATAAGTAATTTAGGTGACAGCCTCTCGAGGAGGCCTTCGAGAATTCCATTATGTATTTATTGACATTTACGATCGCAGAGGAGAGAGGAATTCGGTGGGATGAGTGAGCTGGTAGCAGCGTTTCGTTGGAATTTCTATGGGAAGAAGAAGCAACCGTGTCTCGAGACTGGTAGCCCGATGTGAATGTAGCAGATGGGTTTTTCGCTGGCGTATGGGGCGGGGATGATCTGAAGAGGAAAGTGTGAAGAAGATATATGGTTGGAGGAAGTAAGACATCGTTCGAGAATTCGTTTTTTAGAATTACAAAATGGAGGCGTCAGTGTTAAATTGTTGCTATTGCTAGTACGGAATCTTTGGATTTCGAAACTTGAATGAGATTAGAAACTGATGATATTGGATTTGAGGAAATTTGACCCAGTGAGATCCAGTATGTACGGTGTTAAGCACTTATGAAACGATGTAGATAGGGTAGAAGTTTTGGAAATTAATGGAAACAGCAACAGATCTCAGAGACTCCATGTAGGCTTTGACAGACTCAGATAGTGGTAATCCGTACAGAAGCAATATAGGTAGGGACAAATCCTAGGGAACCAATACAGTATCAGAAAGAATCGCATTGAAGATCAGAAAGAATTCGATCTAAAGTATCCAAACAGGCAGTGTTATGTTCAATATAGAGAAAAAAACAGACAGAAAAGGCATCATGTAGGCACTATCAGACTCAAGAGACCTGATACAGATACTGTCAACACACAAAGAACCCCATACAGTCACGATCAGTAGCAGCCCATAAAGATCTGATACGGATGGCATCACATGCCAGAAACCCGACACAGGCGGTAGTAGACCCCGAAGACTTCACATAGTCAGTACTAAACCCAAAAGGCTCGATACATGGAATATGGGGTTCCAGGGGTCTCAGAGGTTTGGGGAATCTCGACGGTCTTATAGGTCTTAGAGGTCTTGGGGGTCTTGGGGGTCTTGACATTCTTGGAAGTTTGGGTGTCTTGGGGGTCTTGACAGTCTTGACAGTCTTGGAAGTCTTGGTAGTCTTGGTAGTCTTGGTAGTCTTGGTAGTCTTGGTAGTCTTGGTAGTCTTGGTAGTCTTGGTAGTCTTGGTAGTCTTGGTAGTCTTGGTAGTCTTGGTAGTCTTGGTAGTCTTGGTAGTCTTGGTAGTCTTGGTAGTCTTGGAAGTCTTGGAAGTCTTGGAAGTCTTGGAAGCCTTCGAAGTCTTGGAAGTCTTGGTAGTCTTGGCAGTCGTGGTAGGCTTGGGGGTTTTGACAGTCTTGGAAGTCTTGGAAGTCTTGGAAGTCTTGGAAGTCTTGGAAGTCTTGGAAGTCTTGGAAGTCTTGGAAGTCTTGGAAGTCTTGGAAGTCTTGGAAGTCTTGGAAGTCTTGGAAGTCTTGGTAGTCTTGGTAGTCTTGGTAGTCTTGGTAGTCTTGGTAGTCTTGGTAGTCTTGGTAGTCTTGGTAGTCTTGGTAGTCTTGGGGGTCTTGACAGTCTTGACAGTCTTGGAAGTCTTGGAAGTCTTAGTAGTCTTGGTAGTCTTGGTAGTCTTGAGGATCTTGGTAGTCTTGGGGTCTTCGAGGTCTTACAGGTCTTGAAGGTCCCAGATGTTCCAGTGGTCTCTGGGGTCTTAGAGGTAACTAGGCTTTCTTTGATCCCAGAGGTTTCGGACATCCCAGGGGCTCGAAGATCCATGGGGCCCCATTGGTTCCAAACATCTCGAGGGTTTCAGATGTCTTGAGCATATCTAGTATCATTTGCACCATATCTTTCCGATCTGATACCATCTGCATCAGGTTTCTCATATAACACCTATATTTGTTTTTTCGGGTCTACTACGATCTACATCAACTCTCTCGGAAGTCATACCTCCTGTATTAGACTTTTCAGGTTCTCTGCAACTTGTACGGAGTTCATTAAATCTGATACGAAGTCTGTCGGATTTCTTGGGTCTAGTAACGGGTAGTATGGGATCACCCAGCTCTGGTATCAGCTGTATCAAGTTCCTCCGGTTCGATAATATCAGTATCGAGTTTCTTGGATTTACTATCACCCATACTGACTTTATCGAGTCTGGTATTATTTGTACTCGATGATTTTATACCTACATCGGGAATTTTGCATCCTGCAGTGTCTGTATTAGGTTACTTCGTATACCTACTGCCGTTTGCATCGGCATTTCGGTTTCTAGTGTTACTTAGATCGCGTCTTCTAAGTTTGGTTGCAATCTGTATAACTGTTACCGAGTCCGATAATGTTTCTTTCGAATTCCAAGGAACTGACACTTCCTCTTCGCAGTACTAAAAGCTTCTTGACGTCTATAGCAAATCGCCAGGACCCAGTACCTTACGTGTCAAATTCCACGTGTCCTACTAACGTCGTATCAACTGTCGCCCTATTCACTCCTTCAATTCGTACTCGCGTATACCACCTATATCAAGTTACAAGCATTTCATATACTCTAACCTTCGATATGAGCCACAACTATCACACATAACCTCACTCAGCTCTATCCTAGATATTATCCTTCCCCACCCTCCTAAAAATCATACGTAAAATGCGTTCGTGAATAATATATAAGGTCTTCCAAACGAAACGTCGATAGATCAGCTCCGTAATTCTTCCCACGAAATAAATCCCATTTAATTCCTCCAACCGTATCCACCGGAATTAAACGGGTGACGTTCTACGGGATTCCAGACCCTCGTTTCCCGACGAACAAAAAAATCAGCAAGCAAGCGAGTCGAACAGCCGACAAGAACTGAACGACTGTGACCGTCGACCGGCGTTAAACGCTTTGCTCGTTTTGTCTATGTCTACAAGATGAACGTCATTCAATTGTGCCGTTGTGCCAGTGTTACACAAGTGTCAGTCACATAACTTCTCCATCCCAAATAACTTCGAAATTTTGTGTTCTATAAAAAAGTGTTTCATATAGAAATTGCAGCATTTCAATTTTATTTTAAATAAACTATTTGTTTACGAGATATCAACGTGACTTTGAATCTTCTAAATAGAGTGCGCAGATTTTAGTATCAAAATTTAACAGATCAGTCAAGTTTTACACAAGAGTATTATGCTGTAATTATCCTAAACCTAATAAATAATTACCAATGTATTTGCAAAAACCTTGTGCAAGATCTCACGTTAGGATAAGAGGCATCACTTTAAGCAAGTATTACAACTCAGATCAATATTAAGACCATGAACAACATTATTGCAAAAATCTCGCTAATTATTATACAGCAAAATAAAAAAATCTTTTTACCAGTCAGAAATTTCAATTCTTTTTATGGATAATTTTGTTCGAAAATATTCTAGTATAGGTGATATGCGCTCCATTAAAAACATTCAAGGTGACCTTAACATCTCGGAAACAAATGAACTATATATTTTTTATACGTTTCTTTCGATACCATGCAACCTCTAACACATTTTTTTAAAAACACATATTTTAGAATACATTAAAAAGTGGACAAGTTATATGAATCACCCTGTATAGGGAACACTGAGGTCTTCCAGCGGCCACAGTCGGTCTTCATACTCGCAAATCAACCCCGTAATGCCACCAGTATTCGTCGTCCCAGGCTGACAGGGCCGTGTTCACACGCGGACAAAGATTTTTTAGGCGAAAAAACGGGACACATATATTATATAACCGTCGCGCAAGAACCATTATAACATCCAGGGACTTCGTCCGGCTTTTCACGCGAAAAATTAAACGTCTGAAACTGTCGACCGTCCTTCTAGCTTTGATCATAACGCTGTGCCGCGTTATTGTATTTGCGAAACGAAGTTCCCGACTGTGTCACTGGGTCGTGAAAAAGTGGAACGACGGACGCATGAACGGACAGACGTTTGACTACCGGTCCTATTGTCGTTTTCGATGAAGCTGTCGCATTGATAAGAAGCTGGGAAACGGTGGAATTGGAAGATCGCTGACAGTAATGTCACCAAATGTCAACGGTACCGATGTTTGTGTACTATTATTATTATTATTAATTACATTTGTACCCGTGATTATGAAAGCGGTGTAAGTCATATATTTTGCCTGTAGAAAATTCTTTCATAATATTGAAATATAAATTGACGTGACGTGAAATAAGAGTAAAACTGAATTTGTTGAGTCTTTTGACTTACATCATTTTCATAATCACCAGGAAATTTAATCAATAGAGATATATGGTACACAATATAGATAAAAAAATGTTTGTATTATTTAATAGATTTTCAGATACCCTTGGCTTCTATTATCTTTTCCACGCGATTTAACAACATTTCTATTACTTTCGTATAAACATGTTCCTCTTTGGTATCAAAGAAACGTTGCAACTCCCTTTCGAAGTCTTGTCGATTTTGGAATCGCCGATTTCGTAAATGGTTGTCCATCACCAAGAAAATATGATAGTTCGTGGACGCAATTTCTAGGGAATATGGGGGATGTTTTAATTCACTCCTGTTGCCCAATTTGAGAATTTTTTTCATAGAATAAAAAAAAAAACCGAATAACTGACGTTGACATAGTCATAATGAGGTCACTTTTATAAAACTTTAAACGATTAATTTCCATAAGTGTTATACATCAATAAATTCTCTGTTAACTAAACAAATGTTTGAACATACATATCCGTACTTTCAATTCTTCGAGTGTGCATACGAATATTTGTACGGTCTGACAATGAAAAAATCTAGGAAAAGCAAAAACTTTTTTTGGTCACCCGACATTACAATTTTGGGACTTCTCTGCAGAGTTTAGAAAGCTGGTGGAATTATTAACAGGTATACGGTAGATAATAACGGAAAGTAGCTTCTTAATTGAATGTAGAAGCCTGGAAGTACTTCAATTTAACGTCACTTGAACTGTAATGATTACGTCAAGGTTCGTATCGAGAAGCGTAAATTATTTCTCGTGCAAATTTACGTAAACTCCTCTGAAAGTCGTGAACGAAGTTGCCTGATGGGCTTGAATATTAATATTTCGTGGGGCTCGTTGTTCTTGATCGTCCTACGATTCTTGTGTTTCACTTTTGTGTAGATCCTTTTAGAGCCAGACTGAAGGAAAGGAAGAGATCATCGACTAGTGAACAACCCTGATATGGTTGTTTATTCCACAAGTCTGATTGAGTAAAAGCTTAGAAGGGACGGAAAGACTGTCCTGTGGGAAAAAAGTCCCTGTAATGAAGGGATGTCCTAGGCTTTTCAACCGAGTTTTCGAGAGGTTCTTGGATGCCTCCTGTCTGAGTTAGTACTTTCTAAATTAATTCTCAAAGTTAATGCTGTTCCCTCCTTTTTTTACTGTAATATGGAATAGAACAATGGTTGATTCTTTCGTTTCGTGTTTCTCATTTCTCTCTGACAAGTATTGCAGAATTCGAATAGATTAAGGCATGTAAAAGGATACCATAAGAAATTCTGGTGAATTATTACAAATCTGAGGTGGTTCTTCTTTTGGTAATGATGTTCTTATTCCTATTTTAATGTAGAAATATTCTACACGGAGGAATATAGTGAAATTTCAGAATAGATTTTGAAATATACTGACCCAAATGTTTGTTCACATTAAGCAATTTTATTATACCTTCTAGTCCAGGTTAGAAATTTAGAAATACGTTCTTCTTCACCGTGGAGAAATTAAACACAATATGTAATAAAGTATTAATATTAGGTTCTTGCAGAATAAAGTCGTTAACCGTAATTAAGTTTAATTTATAATTCGATGACATACCCATGTGTATTTCCAATACCTCTTAGGATGTATGCACTCGAAGTGTCGGCACTTTGTTGACAGGAGAATTTTTATGTTTGCAAATATGCAACTTCAAGTGTTGTGAAAATATTTAGAAACAACTACTTAACCTTTATTATTCAAACTTACATATAGGGAATAGGATTTTTAAGAAGGACGTACACCTACTATTAGTCAACCAGTCTTAGCTTCTGTTTTTGGAAACACGTACTACTACGTCATCCGACATCAAAGTGTTAATGCCCTTCATAAATATTTACCTACCAATCGTCTTACTATGTTTAAATACTTCTAAAATATACAATACTTCATTTAAAATTCCCCTTCAATTCTCAAAGAATGACCTTGAATTCCGTTTATTCCATCCGACCTTCATCCTAAAGAAAATTAGCTCTTCCGTAAAACCCGACGCAGTCTCCGACTAAAATGAAACAAACGCGAACAGGCAAATATTTAAGAGCGGCAGTGTGTACTAATCAAGTCTAACTAACTTCTTCGTACAACTGCACTCCATTCCTTTATTCCCAGGCGATAATTAACATTCTGCAGGCCGTCTAGAAACGGTGCCGCCCCAGGCCGAGTATATCACCAGGAAGAAGAAAACGTTGTTTCTGTCCGTAACGCGAGAGCACGCTTTTAACCCGGTAACCTTTCCCCCGACCCTTGGCAACAAATGAAAAGGATGCAAGAGGCTTGGTTGTCGGCGCGTTAGAGGAGAGGCCTAGGAGTGGAGGCAGGTAAACGAGAGAAATAAAAACCATGAAGGATGAGCAGAGGTAATAATGGAGGGAATGAATAGTGCAAGTCTGAGAGGGGATAAGAAACGAAACATGGGAGTGGGCTGAGAAGGATTCTCCCCTCTATTCTCGTGAAGAGCCACGAGACAAGAGGTGACTCGGTATAAATAAAGAAGGCAAAGAGAAAGGGGTTGGAATGTGGTCGAGAAAGAGATAGCTAGACTCACACCCATGGAGACTTCAACGAGCAAGACTGAG